TTTGGTTCACTTACAAATACAGGCAATCCTAAACTTTGTGTTGGTAACAAAGTATTGTGTCCTAAAGTTTTTCCCTATACATTTTTCTTTTTTGTAACAAAGAAATCAGAGACAACATTTCAGATAGTTCTGGCAAGTCTGACACCAAGTTTTGCACAGGCCTTCAAATCAAACTAAGAATTTAAATCCATTTTTATGATTCAGTCACATTTATCAAGAACTGTATTTCAAAAGAAGCAAATGGCTTCCAAGCTTTTATCTAAGTCAATGTGTTCTTAACTCACAGAAAAAAATTAATAATACTTTGTAATGGAACGTACTTTTGAATAGCAAGAGTGCAAGCCAGTACCTATTACACAGTTTATCAAAATTGATTGGTGGGGATAATGAAAGAAAGCAAAAAGCAGACATTCAGAGGTAGAAAAGGTAATCACGACTTTGCCCATCTCTGTAGGTCTAGTAGTGTCTGTTGTATAGCCAGAAGTAAAATCCACCACCTGAAATACTCTAAAAAAGTACTACTGGAATAGTTCTGCATGGAAAGCCTGTGGGGAGGAGAAGAAAAAGGTTGGAGGAGGACTCAGGTCCCAGCTAAACATAGCGGGAATTCTGTGTGAACTGTCCAACTCAACCCCTACTGAATAAAGTCTGCACACAAAGTAAATTAATAAAATGTTGCAGGCTCAGTCACTGTTATATCATTATACAATAATTATTTGGAATATTTCCATCTATCAATAATGCCATCTGTCCCATCCAATACAAATGGACTACAACCCATCTGGCTTATTTTTTTCTATTGATTACTCTGCTGAATGAGTTAGCAAAACCGCTTATAAAATCATCATAATACATGACACTGTCATTAAAAGATGTGAAGTAAAGAAAAACACAAGATGAGACTTAATTGGAAAACTGTCAGTTCTTCTTCCAGAAAGTTTTAGCAATGCTATAAGGTTTCTTTTTTTTTTGGCTACTTAAAAAAAAAACCTAAAAAACCCCCTCACTCTGCATGCTAACTACTGGATTAGGCAGAAACTGTTCTACCACGAAATTGTTGCTACTTCTCACTAGGGATGTTAGAGAAGCTGCCTAAACGTATTTCCTCAAGAGTTTCAAAATGTCCCAAAATGTGCTAGGGAATCACAGAAAAACTGTGGAAGTAGAGTAACTTAAAAATAAGGTGGGTGGAAGTTGCCGATGGCTGGCACTTCTCTTTGTTAATTCCAATTATTTTTCCTAGGTTTTGGCTTTGATTATTTGTTTGCATAATGATCTTTATGCTATTTTTGTCGCCTGCTTTTTCTCTGGATTTTAACTACCGCTTCCCTCAACTAGATTTTAGTTTCTACAGCTGCAGCCTGTTTTTTCTTTTGACTTTACTGTTTCCCTTAACTGTATTTTAATTTCTCCAACAACCACGCTTAACAACAATGCAGTTTTATCCATCTACAGAACTCTCTCACTCTAGACTTTAGTTCCTACAATATTCTTTTAGTTTCAACAAAGGAAATTTCTCTTGCGTACATTCAAAAAAGATCCTTTCATTAGCCCAGTGGGGTTTTTTTGTTTGTTTGTTTTTTCAATGAGACCTCAGTGATGCTGCTTTTTTATTCTCCCCTCGGGTTTTTTTTTTTTTTCTTTCCACTACAACCTTCTATCCCTCCACCAGATTCTGTTCCCCCTGCCACCCCAAATGGCTTTTCCAATGACACAGTGACTCAAAGGGACATAGGAAGGAAGAAGAGAGAGGGACAGCGGCTGGATGCCACCTCTAAGGACACAGCCCCTGATGGCTGTGGGAAACTGGAGTTGGGGAAGGCACTGTTTGGGGTTATACTGGAGGGGTGAGGCTGCAGGGAAAGGGGCTGGGAGAACAGATACTGAGCTGCCATCTGGAGTGAGGGACATCTGGATGACAGCAGTGGAAAGGAGTTGTGTGGGAAAGCAAGGAATGATGCTGGAGTAAGGAAGGGGACAGAGTCCAGCCTGCTCACTGTGACTATCTTCTACCTCTCTTACAATCCTCTCGCATCCATGACACTCGCTAGAGCCGCTCCTCTGATAATCAGTGAAATAAATTGGTTATTATGAGACATACTCAATTTATCTTTCTCTTCATAATTCAAGAAGTTCGTAAAAGATAATTGTCACTGTCAATATGACAAGAAGTCCTCCAAGTGTGCCAGCTAAGTGTGTCTAACTCTGCGGCCTTATCTCAAACGAAGTTTTAATCTGTGTCCACATTCAGCTCATAGTAACAAACCTTCCGTGTTATATAGAGACATCTCTCACAATTCTCTTTCCGTTATGTTCTGTTAGGTCCTATTTATTTGTGTCCTAAACAATTTATACAATCTCTTCTATACTTTACAAACTACTGACATCAAATATGTGGAATGATTCAACTGAAGTTGCTGAATAGTATTATTTATGTAGAGGATATTTACCAGACATCACTATATGACAGAATGTTAATATCTTTTTGCCTCGCCAAAAAAAACCACCTTTGGCAGTTCTGATGCATATGATTTAGTCAGTGTGTTAAATATAAACACCTCAATCTTAATATACCATCATTTTGCTATCAAATATCATTCCACAGTTTATGATACCTTTGGAGCTGCACTGTCTTATTTGCACAGACAAACTCCTTTTTCCATGGTGACAGAAGAGAACAATTTCAATTGAGACACCATTTGTTCCTATTAAGTAATCTGCAGGTTGCTACAAATTCAGGTATTTGGCTACTGCTTTAAACACAGTTCAAGAACAACAAAGTATTTTATGGCTGACTTAGTCCACTTGAACAAAACGGACCATTATTTCATGTCAAGGTGTCTGGCAGAACTTTGTGTAGTAGTATTGGGATACCAAAAAAACTAAACAAAGCCACACAAGTAAGGGATATGTTACTTAGACTCTTAAATACGGATGCCTTCAGTGTAAAGCTACTGGCTTCTACACAGAAAGGCAGCGTCTGACAGCATCCGACAGGCTGCTCCAAGAAAATTTTAAGAGATACAAAAACTACATTTCCTGTTTTCACTGATTCTATGGAATAAGAAAGAGACAAGTAAAACCATCATACAATTTATCAGTCATTCTACAAAGCTATTCCTAATTTCAAACTTCACTGTTTTCCTTATTCTGAGAGTAAAAGAACAATTGCCCTAATATGATGCCAGGTAGTGCTTCTCCTGCCATATGATATTCTTTATTTCCATTAACAGGACAAATGTATTTTCAGGGCAGGTTCCCTTTAACAGAAGTGTTTGATACATCTTTTCCTCTGCTTTGCTGTGTACACAAACCCTTACTAATCAAAAAAGTATGCACAGCCTGAGGAAAAATTCAATTCCTCTGTCTGAACCTCCTATTGACAAAATGATAGGAAACTAGAACATCTGGCTGTTAATAACGTCTCAGTCTCACTAATATTTTAATTTTCTCCAAGGCTTTTTTCGATCGTTGTGGTGGCACACTTTACTTCATCTGCTAATATTTTTTTGCTCTCTTTGACACTGTCATTAATGAATATGATCTGATAAGCACAGCATAAGACTCGTGAACATCCTCTAGGATTCCTTGATGTTTCTCTGGGATATTTTGCTTAAACATTCCTGAAAACTGTTAGGCAGCTAACTCTTCATACAAGTACGTGTAGGCAGCAATCCATTTTTAAGCTATGGCTTAAACAATCAAAAAGTGACATGGGCCAGACCCTAGTAATAGCCCAAAAGCAAGCAAGTCATCAGCATTTTTCATGTAGCTAAGAAAGTACTGTCTAGTCATCTCAGGAAGTGGAAGAAAGAAAAGACTCAATAAAAAGTGACTGGTATGTATAACAGCTACAGAAGATGTAGAAGATACTATCTGAAAAAAGGAGACGTTTCAAAGAACTGGCAAACACCACCAATCTGCCTTCAAATCATATATATTACATATAAGAAATCATATACGATTTGCGGTCATGGAACATGTTAGTAACCAGCCACACAGCCAAAAAATAAATTGAATTTAAAAAATTGAGTTTAATTCAGATTCAATGCAGTTGATCTTGAAGGAATAGTAAGCACTATTTATTAATAAACCAAGGTGGAATGTGTAAGCATCTAAGTAAATCCTACATCTTTACTCAAAGACAAGTGCCTAGTGCAAAGATGGAAAATGAAGTCAATTAGAAGTTTCAGGTGCATTTTTCCTTCTTCTATGGCAATATTTACATATGTTATGCTTCCAAGCCAGCTATTTCCCGAAGAAACTATAATAATTAAGTTATATTAAATTATACAGCAATTATGCAGCTTCCACTCTTTTTTACTCATTTTTTGAGAAGTTATGTTTTATTTACAAGATTTGTAGCCATTACCTTTTTAACGCTTGCAGGTGTTCCATGCCTTTTTAAGAAAACTGATACATACATAACAGAAATTATTATGGTATCGTTATAAATCTCTGTGACAATTATTATGCTATTATAGATAGTCTGGGGTCAACGACAGGCATGTCCTGTTCTGGTCTTAAAAGTTCAGCTGAATAACAGGCAATAATAAACAGTGAACTGCTAAACTCAGTTGTCATGACAATATTGCCTGTAAGAAAGAGTGAGGAAACAAGATTTCAACAGAACAACTCACCAGAAGCTGGAAGTAAAATGCACAGCTCTTATTATGTAAAAATATATGGGCAGAAGTAATTCAAATAAGGTATTGTTCACATTTTTGTCGGAGGAATTGACTGCTTTTTAACGGTTGTAAAATATTATTTTGGAGAATTAAGACAAAGTAAGTGATGAATATAGCTTTCTATTACAGAATTTTCTTTCTCAGTTGTGCACAACCACTTATAAGCCAGAACATAACAGCTCAATCAAACTGTATTGTATGAGCTTTACTTGAACCCCGCTAAAATGTGCTGAGAAAATTCTGATATTACTACCAAACTTCAAAGGAAAAAAAGAGACAGCTGAGAAGCAAGAAAATGGATATCACAGCTACCTTTTTATGTTCTCTTAATTTCTTCTGCCATATAGAGCGAGCAATAGGAATGTGCTTGCTGTTAGTTACGTAGCAGCTGGCTGTGATGACGTGGTGGAGGGCAGCCTTCTGACTCGTAGCTTGAAGAACTCGCTCAACATGACGGAGGGAGACTATGGCCTCAGTCCATATGCCACCACTAACAAGCTGCATCGTACAAGGTACTAGAGCAATCTGTCCAGCACAGTAGAGAACATCTCCAATCTAGAAGAAAAAGAAATAAAAATATTTTAAATAAAAATCTGGGAGTGTATTGAAGGCAAGGGAACCACTTTTCTCTTTTCCAGGTAGCTTCTTTCAATAGTACTATTCTTTGCTATCATTTGTCGCAAATGGAGCAAACTAGGCCAGTCTAAAGACAATGTTTGATAGGGATTGAACTACGCTACAGAAACACAGCACTGCAATAACCAAACAGTTAATACAGAAATGGATGCGTCAGCTCAAAACATTAATACGTGATGTTACTGACTGTTACAGCTGCTGGATCACAGTGGTGCCCCAACATGGTTATATATACCCTTGTTTTCCTTTTCTGAGTGATGATGCACACTATCTTTGGTTCAACGCCGTTTTTTCAAACCCTTGAGGTTTTTTTTACATAAGAATATATAAGAAAATGTAAGTATTTTTCTGTAATGTCTCTAGCAAGCACATTTAAAAATACTATAAAAATCATACTTGCAGAACACTAAAAGACTATGTGTGAAAAAAAGTCTTGATAATCCACCAGGAGATAAAAGGGAATTGCAAACTGAAAAATAAAATGCAGAAGAGTACTTGCTACTCTACCAAAGAGATGGGTTCACCTTTTGACAACAGAATTAAATGCGTGCCCAGATATACCACCAATACACATTTTAAGTGGAGCTGCAATGCAGTTACTTTGGGCTGATTTTCCAAAGCCTTCCTGGCAACGCTCTGAAGACTGACTTTTTTTAACAGCAGCCAGCAAAGGAAACATTTACTCCTATATTCAGACATCTCAAAGATTTATTATAAAATCTTAATGTAAATATCAAAACTTTTCATCCTCTTATGCTGCACTTCTCTAGAAAGTCTGTACATTTCCTGATCAGTGAAGCAGTAAATTTTATTCAATATCAAAAGAAAACTAAGTATAGAAGTGGGAAGTAAGGTAGGCGTAAGCAGCTTTGAAGCCAGCTCAGGAAGCATTTTGTTAGGAGCAAAGGGAGGGGAAAATGGACTGTGCAAGGAATCTTTAGGAAGAATTTTGCAGAACTTACTGTAAAAACTGTAAAAATTCCTCAGAATTAAGAATAATTAAGAAAGAAATCTGTATCCTAGAAGACATGGCAATCAAACCATGCGACAGACCCATATGCAACTCCAAATCTGTCCTCATAACTGTCTGTGTCTCACAAAAGACTCACACATGTAACTATTGGAAGAGTATCTTACACAATTTGGCATACAAGTTCTATGATTAGCAGCTGAAGAGGGGGAGGAGGCAGAAAGGAAACATAATATATCAACTGACACCCATCAACTATTTAAATTGTTTAAAATATCTGAAATATTGTTTTGATAATTCTATATATAATCCTGAATTTTGAAAAAAAAATATATGCAAGTAATATTTTGGTTTATAGGAACAAATGGTCTGGTTTTTTTACAGTGCTATTTTAAAATATGTGCCACTGAACAAGGGAGTCCAGCCAGCTACCAAGTGGCATGCTGACAAGATGAGAAACAAATTCAGGAAGATCTGATTCAGAGGGGCACAGGTTTGTTTTTAAAGTGAGCCATTCATTTTCACCTCTGCAAAGTTAAATTCCTGCTTTAGTCAAAAACTCCAGTACAGGTAGTTTATACTTCTAGAGAAAAAAAAAATCACACTGGTAACATTTTGTCCTTTTTTTTCCTCTTGGGCTGCTGGTTTTCCATGCACCACCCATGTTAATTATTAGGTAGACAGAAGAGCTGTTCAACCAGTTCACTTCCCCTATTCTTGAACAGATTGTTTGAGACATAATATGAATACTAATTAACGATAAAATATCTGTCAGTGTTTTGAAATATGGACCGAGATAGCACTTTCTTAAAGTATCGTGGATAGTTCTGATACAATTAGCCCCACTGGTCATAAGCAAGGTCAAAAAAATCTCTGAAGGATTTGAGCAAAATTGGCACCACTTTTGGCTCAGATTCAGTGGGAATTTTGCAGACTTCTTTAAAAACCAACTTAAATCCCTCCTCTGTTCCCAACATACTTGTTTGTATCTTAAGATATAATTAACAGAAAAACAGTGTTCCTATCACGCCACCATGTTCAGAAGGGTGGATGCAAGGGGGAAAGAGAGGAAAAGGGTCAAAACACGGCAACAGGTTTCCCCCCGTTCTTCAGGGGGAAATAATTTAGGATAAGGGAAGGAGGAGGGATGTTCCTCTTCTCTTTCCCGGTGACTTGCTCATGAAAAGCAAGCATAAATAAACAATCAGCAGGGACAAAGCAGCAAACTGCTACAGTGTTTTAGCAGATTTCGAGAGGGTGTCTCTAGAATATCTGAGGAATTACACAGAAAATTGTTAGCAGAGTAGAAAGCATTCAAAACAGGGAAGATATCATAATATCTTGTTCACAGTAGTGAAATCTTACAACGGGAGATGTCACAATGTATGGTGTCAGTCCCTGTGTTGTGAAAGTGTTCTGCAAAACCCTGCTAGAACCTTGCAACAGTTTATCTGTTTGGAGCATCTACAAGGATAACAGAAGATCTTTTGGGCTATAAATTCACAGTGTATCAAGTCTAAAGGACTCGCATATCCAGTACATTCAACATAGAAACAAAACTCCAGTATAACGGATGTGTATTTATGCACTACATGTCTCAGCTTACACTGATGATTTAATTTTCACAGCAGCCCATACACATATTTCCAGTGCTAAAATTTCATTAAATATTTGACAAACCAAAAATAAGGTACCTGTGAGTTCTAATAAGCTAACATAGTGAGTTAATTCAGCAGCTGTTTTGCGCAGTTAGCACAATTGTAAATAATCAATGTAATTCAGTGGACAACCAGAATGCCAGAGTACACAATCTATAACTGGTTGGAATGGGGGGCCCTTATTTGAGAATTACTACTTTTCATAGTGCAGCTAGGCTCCAGGAATTAAGTGTACTATAGAGCCAGATGACAGCTAATACAGAGGGAAGACAGAATACTAACAAGTTGCTTCACCTATATTTAAAAGCTGCATTCACTTTTTAGGAAAGCAGAAGAAAAGCATCTATGGTACCATGAAAAGGAAAAGTCAGAAGAAGGTTTGATGCCACTTCGGCATGGGTTCTACCCCTTGAAAAAGTTTGTAAAAGTATTAAAAGTTACCGAAAGGACACAACATGTCTCCCATAAAATTCAATTCAGGAAAAGAAACAATGAGAAAAACAGACTTAATTTGGCATAAGGACTATCTTAAGCTGTGAATTGGGAAGAGAAAGTTCTAGTTATTGCTATTTTGAAAGAAAAAGAAGCCATAGGATTATTACAGATACGCACCAAATTGTTGTTTGTTTGTTTTTAATTAAAGGCCAACAGCAACTATGGAAAACGTATGAAACTTTTTTGGCTAGTCATTAATTAGCACAATACAAAAATTGCAGGGAGCTTCTATTGGAGCGATTTCAACCATTTGCCCACAGGTGTTTAGGCCAATGTTAATGGTTGCACCATATGAACAGACGTGTGTTTCTTGGAAGGGATGGAGTCAATATGCAATCAGTCAAATCTTTGTTAAGAATGCAGTTTGGTGTCTGAGTGACTGCTGCCCTTTAACAGGTCAGGGTGCACAAAAGATTCAGTGACCCTCTGACCTCACAGTGAAATAACCCCCCATTACGTTCAGTCAATGTAAATAAGCATAACTGACAATGTGCTAATAGCCTGCCTCTGGTCAGCCATGTGTACCTCTGACCTTAATGAAGACCTAAATCAATTAATACTCCAGGCAATAAAGACCTCTGGCTGATTAAGTTAGATAGAAATCATCTTTTCTAACGGGATTAAAGCTGTGAGGTGGTGAACTTTTTATTTAATATATGATAATCCTTTCTTCCTAGGGCCCTCTTATTTTAGTTAATGACGGTAAAATTGCTTTTTGCAATGTGAAATCTTTTATTCAACCACCTAGTGTGAATAAAGTTTTAAAGCTTTGAGTTCTGACTAATGTGGTTGTAATACACCACAACCTTCAATACAATTCACATGTTTTTCTTGAACAGTTACAAATTTGTGGTCTAAAAATCCCAGAAATGAGATGAACACACATAGTTTGCTTTGACGCAGGCTTTCTTTTGAGAAAACGTCCACAGCTCCCAGTAGCTGAAAGAGGAAGAATGTATTCCTAAAAAAAAATTAAAAAATAGTTACGATTACCTTGGATTAAAAAAATTAAACTTATAAGAATCCATGTGTAACTTAGTAAAATTGGGAGGGACTGCTTACAAGGGCATGTAGCAATAGGATGCGGGGCGATGGTTTTAAACTATAGCTGGGAGGCTTTAGGTTAGATGTTAGGAAGAAGTTCTTCACTATGAGGGTGATGAAACACTGGAATAGGTTGCCCAGAGAGGTGCTGGAAACGCCACCCCTAGAGACATTAAAGGTCAGGCTTGATGGGGCTCTGAGCAACCTGATCCAGTTAAAGATGTCCCTGCTCGCTGCATGGAGTTGGACTAGATGACCTTTAAAGGTCCCTTCCAGCTCAACACATTCCATGATTCTATGCCTCTGTGAAAATACTTGCATATCATACTCAAAACTCCAGAACTTCCCTATAAATAATATTTTTTTCCTAATTAGGTCAAAAAAGCATAATTAATCAATAGCATGTTAATGTTATCTTACTGAAATAACTGTAACATTTCCACAGTTTTCAGAGACTTGTAACTCAGTTTTCAAATGCTGTGACTTCAGTTTGCTAATCCTCATTTTGGGATAGAGCTTCATATGTTTTAAAATGTATTCGATTACCTAAGATGCAAGACTACAAAACACTGATCTTTTTGCATTGATCTTAGCTATTAAAGTTTATTTTATCAAAGTGTGATTTAAATTTTTCTCTTTGAATGTAAGTATTTGTGTTTTCAAAATTCACAGGACATTTTTTATCAAGAACCGAAATAAAATACTGCCATTTCATGGATGTTGAACTAGGTTCTACTATTCATTCTGCCTGC